CAAAGTACTACTCATGGGCCAGGTACTAGAACCAGTGCTTCAAACTGTCATATACAGTCCAAAATGTGAACACTTGATTACTTTGAGTTACAAATAGAGTAGATGACAACAGTCATATAAATAGCAAGTGTTATGACAATGGAAACAATGCTTCAAAAAACTTCCATAAAACTCACAAATGAATTACCACTCAGAAACAACAAATTGAGGACATTCAAGAAAGACCAGAACTTACTAAGTGTTACGCGCTTTGCATGGATTGCACATAGCATTGCATCCTCAAACAACTGAACCAGGTAATCCTCTGCAGCCTATGAGCGGAGTGAAATAATCCCCAGTGGTTATCCACTAGTGTTGATGAATGAAGAAAATGTATTTTACCATATACACTGATCAAAAACCAATAAAAAATAAAAACCACACAAATAATCCCCAGTGGTTATCCACTAGTATGTATTTTACCATATACACTGAATAGTGAAACTGAAAATTAAAAACAATAAAAAATAAACTGTCTACACATAAACCACGCAAATTACTGCAACTACTAAGACAACCAAAACATTGGAAAGACAAACCTATCAATCTAAAATCTTTCTTACCTCCTGAAGTGCCACCAAGGCTTCAGCTGTCCAACGAGTAACATCTAGTGTATAAAAGTTGCTAATTTCTTTCACCTAGATTATAAGTAGTAATCAGAACCTACAATTGGAATGAAGAACAAAGCAAGGAGTATACAACTTCCTTTACTGAATAAAATGACAGTCACAGACAGTAAAAGAAAGATAGAAAGTGCAGGGGATACATGTTGAAAAGCAAAGAAGAAATTGCTCTAAGGTTTCGTTTAGTTCTTAAGTTTCGCCTTTATGTCTTAGAAATCTGAAATCCTGGAAATGATATTCCAGGAATTCCAGATCCAGTCTGAAATAGTTTTTCTTATGATGTTGGTTTCACCAGAAAACTGACAAGATATCTGGGAAAAAAAATTATGTGCACATTAAGAATGAATAAGTTATCTCTAATGTTATCCTACTTACTTGTCACCCCAAAACTAATTATCTCACCTCCATACGATCCAATAGAAGTTAAACAAAATCTAAAGTTGCATTAGATTATCCCCCGTACAAACTTAGCCACACAAGGGAAAATACAAAATGAGTAATTCAATCACATCTAATGCTGTCTAATATTATGAACCAAAATGCGTCATGACCATAACATCTGGATCATTTGAAATGCAAGACAGCCCAAAAAGCTACAAGGAATTCTATACTATCTCTAGCACTTGAAATTCATTGTTTTAAAAAAATATACTTAGCATATCATAGCTGTAACTGGAATTTGCAAGGTATTGGAAATGTAAACTCTTTCTTTGCCAGTTTATTTCTAATTCCTAACTCAATCACGGATTCAAAATGATCAAGCCGTCAAATTCACAATCTCCAAACCAACAAAAATAATTATAGTCATAACAATAATAATAACCCCATAACAGTGATAACAACAAACTAACAAAGTTAAACATACAGCCTTCTTACACGCCCATGGCAAATCATGACCAAGATGCAAATCATGCAAATACATATGCATATAATGGATAGGGCGTGTATGGAAAAATAAGAAGAGAGACTAAATCTGGACCGACTGTATCTGCATGCATACTTGGAATCCTGGTTGAAAGACATCTATAGCCAGGAGGAGCAAACTCAAAGCAATTATATGACATCATCAGACCTTATTCAAGAAAACTAATTTGCTCTACTTAGCACTCATATTTTTACTTTGTAGTCATATTTGCACACAAATATCTACTAACACATGACAAGCACAGACATCTTCAAACATTACTCAGTTCATGAAGTTGTCAGTGTACACTACGAATTGACAATTAGTTGAAGCGTTCATTGATGACGTGCTTTCAAAAACAAGAGCTTATGCTGATTTAGTGTAGGAGATGTACCCTACAACATCAACAGTGATGCCCATGAGTTAGTTAATCAACATTCACTATTCTAATTTTCTAGCAGAAAACAAGTTTACTGAAGCAATTAATCAAAAAACAGAGTCATAACCCGACAACAATACAACTGACAACGTCAAGATCATGACCTACAGAAATTCAACTACATATACAGACAAGACTGCTGTAGAATGACATTGCAGAATCCAATTATCTCTTACAAAATTTGGGCAAGATATATTCAAAGCTCCGTTACAACAGTTAAAGCCTCAAACATCAGAACTATGAGGATGCAAGTACCCGTATTTGTAGAGCAGCTCAAAGTTCACATGTGTTAAGACATGAAAGGACAAACTTTACTTAGCTGTCAATGCTTTCGGGAAGTGGGTTCTAGGTCGACTTTCAGCCTAATATCCCCAAACTATATGTTTCATATGAAACTATTACAAGATTTCGAAAATATAAAACACCTAATATAACATTAATTAAAAAATCTAGTACAGATCTTTAAGTATGCATATAAACAGGTTGCCCCACTCATCGGCACACTCACAAGCATGAATCCTGGACAAGCCTATAGAGAAAAACAGAAACAAAGCGGAAAATTACAAGTCTAATGAAAGGAGCAGCAGGAATGAGGAGTTTCCAAGTCCTCTGGAAATGCCGAATTTCCCTAAGAGCCACCGTCCCTGGCCTGTGCCGATATTTCTTTTTCTGCCTTCCCGCCTGTCTCGGACCTTTAATCGAACACATAAGAAACCAAAATCAACATTTCCCCCAAAACCAGCCCTCACCTATAATTCTCTGAAGATATACTGAGTTCACATTTCCACTAAAAAAGGGGAAAGAAAATTTCACAGAAGAAAAATTTAACAACTTTCTAGATTTCGCTCACTTGTTTTTGCTGCTGGGCTCCTCGGACTTCTCCTCGTAGGCGTCTGTTAACTCCAAAAATATATATACATATACATAAAACAAATTAGTCAAACGGCGTAGTAATGCGTCTAAAAAATGGAGAGAGGGAGGGAAGTGAAAAGGAGTACCGCAGCAGCGGAAGAAGTGGCGGTTCCGGCAGTGGCGACGCCTGAAAATTGACAGGGGAAAAAATAAAATTAGGGTTTAAACAAAAAAAAGAAAAGAAAAGAAAAGAAGAATCAATTACTGAAAATTCAGAAAAAGAACGAAGAGATGGGAAGAAAGGAATAACCGGTGGGTTTAGTATGATTTCGGGTTCGTGAAGCCGGGTGTTTGGTTCTCGCCATCAATTTTACTTTTTTTTTTTTTTGGTTTCTTCTTGTTTTGAAGTAGTACTAGTAGAATAAGGAGGTGGAGGGAAATTGATGAAAGTTGAATCGAGTTGTGAGTTGCAACGGTAGGATAATCTTGGGTTTCCCGCTCGATTTCAGTTTCGATTTTGGTGCTGTAGTTGTTTCGGTTTGGGTTTGGGTAAAACCCGTATCGTCTCTGATGGTGATGGGTTTCCCGGCCTTTTGTAATCCCGTTTGGCAAGTAAGTTTTTTGAGTGTTTGTTTAAAATTTTACTGTAATTTATTGTAGAAGTTTTTAAAAAAATTGTTGAAGTGTATTTTTTTTGAATATTTTGAAGTGTAGAGTTTAAAAATTTTGAGAAATTTTTTGAGATTATTGTAGCTAAAGTTTTTAAAAAACTTGTAGCAGATAAACTTGACAAAAAACTTGTCTGCCAATACACTAATACGTGGCTTAAAAGTTCATTACTACTACAATTACGTGTTTAGATGCTGCTACTACTATACTTGTTAAGCTATAATGACATTTGTGTCATGGATCCTACTAGGATTTGTTTGATGATCTCAGAAGGGCTTTGATGATTAAGTTTTAGGCAAAGATTACTGCAACTGGTTAATTTGAAATTGATTTTGCCCCCCTCCCACCTAAGGAACAGCTTCATAATCAATTGCTTTTTGGCACTGTTTTATTCATAAGTAACCAAAGGTAGTACTCCTCATAGATGGTTCTTAAGCCTTGCATGTTTGATCATATTTTCTCATCTTCAATTTATGCATAGTTAGATTGATAATAGTGTATTGTGTCTGCGAATCTCACAAGGCATAAGGTGAAAAATAGATTATAGGAGTCTTTTGATTCTCCTTGTAGGGCTGCTGTCCCGGCGAGTCGAGTCATTCGCAATTAACTTGCCAGCAGCTTTGTCAAATGCTCAACTTGAACTTGATCGGTAGCTCGATGCATATAACAAGTCAAGTTCGAACCTTCATTTGTGCAATTCGAGTGCTCGTCGAGTAGCTTGATTATTAGTATATTATTTATCTTATATTCTATTTTAATTATGAAATGACTAATAAAGATTTATGTTTTAGGTAATTTACCATAAATGTTGTCTACTCAATAAAATTTATAAATGGCAAAAAATGTGATATTGTAATAACTGAAAAAGAAATGAGAATTTTAGATAGCTTACCATAAATTTTTGAGCTTATTTTTTTCGAGTTTTATTTTGCGCCCTAGAACTTGTTAAAGTTTGAGACTAGTCTCAAGCTTCAAGTAGCCGAGCTCAAGCTTGGAAATGCATTTTGTTGAGTTGAGTCGAGTTATATAATTTTTTGTCCGCTCGAGTTCAAACAGCCTCATATAGCATCGAGTTCGAACTCTAGCATAGCAGTACGCGAACTCAACTCGACTCATTAACACCCTTACTCCCATGTAGTCTAAAATTGTGAAAACATGCAACAAAATAAGAAACATGAGAACAAAAGAAATCTCCCCTTTCAGACTGAGCTGGGCTCTTTCATGACATAAATTTCTCGCAATTGAAATCCATCTAATCCTCTGCTTTCATGTTTCTGCATATAACACCTCAAGATTCAGAAAAGAAAAAGTTTTATTAGATCACATCTTCAGAGAGAGACCACGCATTGAACATTGCGGATTCATGCACAGAGCCATTTTTTGCCTGCAGATGCGATGGCCTGCTTGCAGCTGTCAGTCTATGTATTGCTTGACAATTACACAATCCCAAACAGTCCACCGGACCCGGCAGGTTTTGATGAATTGTGCACATAGTAAGATGCCCGAATCAGGCATATTTCAAAGACGCAATTAGGAATCCCTTGTTTAACACCAGACACTTCTAAGTTGTGGACTGTAAGAGCATGGATACGAAGGAAATGTAACGATACTAGCATTCAAGCATCATCAACTTTCTTCATTCACCCTTTGCTTACTGTCCGTTTCTCATGAGTTTAAGATGGTGAAATCAAGCACATCAGTAAACCCAAATAGATCTAAACCTAACCACACAACATATAAGATGTTACTCCAAACCAGAGATGCCGCAACTAACTTAAGTATCGTCAACTGATGGAAATCGTGTCCCTGGATCTTTCACTTAGGTAATCACAAGTTCAAAAATTTTCAGCGAGCAGCACATATTGAAGAATTCATGAAGTAGCTCTGCCATGTCCCGACTCAAACCTGCATTTTAAGTGCCTGAAGCTTAAAAATTTGCACTTCAAACTTTATGGTTGTGCAGGCATAGGAGATGCTGGAGGCTTCAGATCCGGATACTGCAATTGGATGAAAAAAATGGCAGAAAAAAGAGGCATTAATGAACTTCATCAAATTGTTTGCAGATCAACTTGGACGGTAAAAAACAAAAAGATTCGTTCCTAGGAGGGGAACAGCAGGGATAACTGAAGATATTTGGTTTCCCTCCATTGCTATAACCTTTAAACTGAAACCGTCCGACACATATTTTCTTTACCCATTGACTTTATCAAGTACCAAAATTTGCTGCCAAGTGTTGGCTTGAGGGAGGAACATCCTTTTGTGCTATCAGATGGCCAGAAGATAATGACCAGTTGGTTACAGGAAGATGTGCCTGCTGAGGGGCTTGCTTTGTTGCATAAACATAAATATCATTAGACAACCGCAAAGAACTTACATTAGGGTAAGGAGAAAGAGGTCTTGAAATTCCAGGCAGTGAATCTGTTTCAACTTCTGCTTTAGGAACTGAATTGATTTCTGCTGTTGGCTCTGCGACTGCTTCTACTTTAGATGGCGCATCACTCACCCCAGGAACCGATTCAACTCTCTCTGTCGTGCTACCAATTGTACCAGGGTTTGCTTCTGTAGGTGCAGGTAGCGCCTTGCTAGTCACGGGTAACGGTAGAAGAGCCTTCCCAATTAGCTGAATTGAATAGAAAGCAGAACGGAACATATCATGAATTGAATTAGTAGAACCAAATATCATCCTTTAGAACAAAGAAACCCAGTTATTAATAGAGGAAGGAGCAAAGCAAAAAGAAATTAAAGAACATACAAACTCGCATTCAAATAAAGGAGACAAGTTCACGAAACTAAGAGATAGATGCAACGGATTGGTAATTAAGTGTCATGCAGCTTACCTTAACATCACCTACAAGCTCCTTAGGGGCAACCTTCGTGGTCAAAAACTCGTCAACTTTCTCTAGAGTTTTCTTCCTATCCTGTCAAAACAGAGTGGAGAAATATTTGCACAGTTTCTCACGTCCAGAGCATGTTTTAGCAAAAGCATGGATACAAGGCTCTATTGGTTTACATAAAATGTCTCGAGGTATGCATAAATGCTTTTTTGGATTTTGGCAGCTAAATTTGAGTGCTATAAGAACAGGGAAGGACCTTTCAAGATCTTACTAAAGAATCTAAATAAATAAACAAAACACAAGTCATAGATGCTGCACAAATAAAAGGACCTTCAAGGTTGAATTGAACAAGTGGACTCTCATTCTCTCCAGCACATGGAGAGGGCAATTTCAAGGCAATATCATTGCGGAAACTAAAAATAGCATTACACAAACCTCTGCAAACAGGAATTTTTGGCCAATTAACTGGACAAGCGCAGCTGAACCTAATACTTGCAGAATTGTTTCGACCTAAGAAAGGTATAAAAACGTTAGCAGCAATCCTCCTAAAGAAACACGATCATTAGCCTTTGAATGAGAAAGCATTGAGTAGTCTAACCTCTGAGAATGCTAGCAATCCTAATCCAGTTGCAGCAGCAATGCCAAGAATTACAGATGTCGCATCTGCCTCCTGAAAAAACAAAGTGGATTAAAGCTTTTACTTCCAACTATCATAAAAGATTGACCTAGAATACAGCATGCATCGGGACACATACACCAACGGTACCACCAATTGTGTCAGTCAAATTGCTGAGATCAAGGCTGAATTTCTTTGGAAGAGTCCACGGAAGACCACTGCTCTGCATTTTCAACACTCAAAATATAAGTTTCAATTGAACTATTGCATAAATTAATAGTAAAGCCTAAATGCTTTTACATAATTGAAAAACGTTTTTTAGGTTATGCAGCAACCATCCATCCTCGGGATCCTTCTGCTCCATCTCTGATTGCATAAGCAGCTTTGAAGCCATTTGCTGTCACAAGCTCCGCAACCAGTTCTGAGTTCCCATTAAATCTGGCTTCACCAAAAGGTTAACAACTTACAATTGAAATTTATACGTCAATGTTCAGAAAAGAGCCAAAAGGGAAACTTTTGTAGACATGTTAGGGAAAATAAATAGAACAAGCATTTGCAAGCAAGAAAGCTCTGTGTGCAAAAGACCATCAGAAAATATAAGTTAAATATAGACCACCTCCGGCTGATGAAGAACATTAGATCTTGTAGTAACTGGATGACTACAAAATTCAAGCTTTGCTTAAATAAGTGTGATAAGTGTATGGTTTATTCCTCAAGAAACCTGAAAGTAGCCCTAATTGAATGACTACAACATTCAAGCCTACCTTAATTTTTCATGTGCTTAACCTCAGAAACCAATGCCGATGGAGTCCGGACCTATCACTGAAAGTCTATGATAAGGCTAATTACTGACTATGGCTTAGAAGGATGAGCTAGGGAACTTAAAATTCACTTGAATGATGCTTCAGCAGTAAATTTTTTAGCCGAAGCCCTCAATAATGACTACAACTGCAACAACTTCGTCAAATAGAATTTAACTTGATTCTCAGTTTTTTATATTTTTTATTTTTTCCGGCTACATGAGGCCTCATTGAACTAGTAAACAGTTATGGCATCAGAACAATGCAATGTACAACAGTTCGGCAATAGATTTTTACACGTTGGTCAGTCTGATACAAAGAAATTATGTGGTTTGGAGCACTAATGATGTGAGTCATGGTCAATGAAGGCATAATGCAAAGTGTCTGATTGAAATCAATGTGCTATCGAAGTATGTTTGTCTTTCCCCGACTTGTCGAGCTTTAACTTGGAATTACTATTGAACTTGGGAGACATTCTAGCCCATTGACATGAACAATAAGAAGTGAAGAAAGAAAGGGATCATAATCTTACTTGTCTAGGATGAATAGTGTAGTGTTTTCTGGTTCCTTAAACTTTAAAGACAATTTCTTCAAGAACCCCAGCTTATCATCACCTTTATAAGCAACAGCCACTGGCTTCTTCTTCAAACCTCGAACATCCGGACTGCCTACTCGCCTTAATTCTACCGGTGGTCTTATATCAAGCAGTTGAGCACTGGCATCATCATTCAATTTTGCATAAGCAGCCTTGGCAGACTCAACACCCCATGGCTTAGACTTACCAAACACCTGAGATAAAAGAAGTGGCACAGCCAAAATGGCTACACCCCCACCTACAACTAGAGGATTTTCCGCTACAAAGTTGGTAACACTATCAATAACTCCACTGACATCAAAGGCATCCAAGTCTAAACTGGGGAATTCCCCCAGTGACTGCTGTAATGCTTCCTCATATGATAGTGCTTCAGCTGATCCACTACCAAGAACGGAGGATAGTAGCACTATACCCGCACCAATAGTTTTCGGTAAAGCCCCAGCTACTTTTGCAGAATCCCTCCTAAAATTTGCTAATGTCGGGCACGTCTTGATCTGAGGAACTGCGTGGAACGGTAGATATTTTCTGGGTTCAGTTCTTCTTTCTGAAAGTACAGATAGTGGGGTCAAACCGACAGCATTAAGGGCCTCCATTGCATAATTCTGGATAATCAGATATCTATTGCTCAGAAAGCCTTAACCGCTTCAAGAATTGTAATTGAAAGGTTGCCTTGAGCCAAAAATTGAATCTTTTTAAGACTGGAATTCTGTCATGCCCAATTGAGACAGTAGTGGGTTTCAAGTTTGATATTTTGATATTTCAGCTATGGTCATGAGTATGGAAAGTTTGGTGATGCGAACTGGGATGACTATCGAACCACTTGCGGAGTGACACGTGGCAAGTGAGGATCGCAGCTTTGGTGATCATGTTGGCTGTATAGTTGGATGCTTTCGTTGATTTGTGGCTGAGAATTTTCTGAGGAAGTTTATAGAATAGAAACTCTGGTGATGATGTTAAATTGTTCAAGCAGTACCACGATTTCAACGCTCCACAGTACACAGCCCTCTAAGGATTGACGAATGCTAATCTCTCCTACTTTAATTTTTTTTTTTTTTTTTGTCAACACAGGGGTATCTGGGGGTAGCGGTCTGGGACGACTGGATACCTGACACCGCCATTAACCCCAACTAATCCCACTGCGCCTGAGAGAGCGGGCCCCACCGAATCATCAGGAATTTACCCCGGCTGCCCTTTCTTGGAATCGAACCCAGGCCCTTCTCACTCAATGGAGCTACAAGGACCGCCCGAGCAAACCGTGGGGGGCAATCTCTCCTACTTTAATGACTTTGAAGATGTTAACAAATAGCTGTTCTGCTGCAACATTACACGCAAGCAAAATTGCAATTACTACTGACTGCCTAATCCTTACTCTTGATGTTGTTCACTTTTGAGCAATTATACCAAAAATAGTAGTATGTTCCAAGACTCGACCATTAATTAATAACATCCATATAGAAGAAAAAATCTCAACGGTTTTTCCCTCAATTGTCAGGCACAAGACAAGAGGTTCCAACTATAAACTTGACAGCGAATAAAACCCTCATCGATATGCCTTGTTTGAACTCCATTTAAGAGTTGTCGACTTGTCATCTGATAACACGCATGCAGGCGGAATGATAAGTGGACAATGAATTGCCCAAACCTTTTAATATTACTGTAACAGTCTACTTTATCAGGAAACTATCTATCATAGAATCACCAGTCTCCACAAAAAGGTAGGAAATGAAGGGGAGCAAAAATGTGAACCAAGTTGTAAAACAAAAAATAGCAGTCGATTCATGTAAAGCTGCATCTCTTGTAGACTTAGAAACAACTAGTACAACTTTATCAGGAAAAACTACAAGAAAAAACATGTTACTTAGCTTACAAAATCATGGAACTCAGGTTACTGAATCTAAGAACACGGCAGCGGTGGGCAGTGGTCGTCATAAGATCTCAAAAAAGTAATCCAAACCTTGCCCAATCTCCCAAATCGAGATGCCAGCACCCCACAAACGAGCTTCCTCAAGCCGTGCGGCAATTGACATCAGTGATGGGTAGAACACGATATGCTTGATATGTTTGTCATCAGAGTACAAGAAAAAATGCTCAGCACTGTTCTTTTCCCATTGCAATACAGGCCTGTGCTGCTCCAGCAAAGAAAGATAATCTCTGCCTAGGATTGGTTCCCCACCTCCTGCAAATGCACATTGAAGGAAATGTAAATCAAATATTTTTCAGCAAAAAACCATTACATGTTACCAGGAATTCAACAAGCAGAACAAAAAATCAATTAAGCTCAGAATCTCATGCTTTGACCATATATTTCATTCTATTTTATCTTCTTCATTTTCCTTAGTGTCTCATCAAATGTAAGCCACATTTCAGGGGAGAAATCAAAAGGGAAAGAAGGAAGATGGTTTCTTTCACTTTACTTTCCTTGGTTGAACATAGAAAATAAGAGGGAAAGAGGTGTCAACATGAAAAACATTGTGTTATCCCCAGACTAGTTCCAGGTAAAAACAGGGGAATTTGATTGCATAAGCTACTTGTTAAGTATGTAAATATGAGGAAGAAATACTTGAAATCTACAAAGCTCAATATATGATAATGCTGCATAGTTTAATATAAATTCCCTGTTACTTTTTCCCGTAAAGACAATCCTTTGGGCCCACTCTCATCAGCCAAACTTCTCTAAAGCTACTTTAACAAGTAATTCTTGAAAATTTTATGTATATTACTTTATCTAGCTATTTCCAATAAGTACAAGTCTTGAATAGCCCTAAATAGAGTAGCTATAACGGTGCTTTAAGTTTACATAAGCTAAACGCAAGACTCCTGAATAGGTTTTCACATAACCATAGCTAGAATCAACCTATGTCAGGCAAAGTATGACAACCTCTTCACACACGTATGCTGTTAGATGCTACCCAGAAATGAACATAATATGGAGGGTAAATAAGAAAATCTTACTCATACCTCCCGAATGCATGAAATCTTTTCCATAGAAATTGATGCCAAGAAATATCTTTTTAGCCAACCCCTGACTGCCATTGTCAGAACCAAGAAGAAGCTTCAAGATGGAGCGGATCCACTTCAAAGGTGCATTGGGACCCGGATTATGAGGAACTGAGAAATCATATGTCATAAGAGAGAAACCATCTACGACGTTACTCAAGCTTAGCAGATCTTCTGGTCCAAAATCATGTGGCTGTAGTTGATCTGAATATGGTGGGCCTATAACATAGACTAAGAACAAAGTCTGCCCATTTCTCTCGAGGATTACTGAATGCATAGCTTCTCCTAGTTGCTTTATAAATTGCAAGGCCTAGACGTTGAAAAAGAAGTAAAGGCTCAATAAGTGGTAATAATGCTACTGTTGTTGTTGTTAACAAACAGCAAAAAGCACCAAACTGCATGAAGTGCTATTACTAAATCAACTCCGACATAACTATATATGTGCCATTTCAAAGATAACTGTCTGATAGGTAAAGCTATCTAGCTGTCTCTACAGATCATCAATAGCGTGCATCAGATATCACAATTAAATCTAAAGTTCAAGGGCTGATCCAGCACACTTCTATGCTCCTTCATAACTAAGGTTCTCACCACCTGTCCCAGCAAATTGAGGCCCATAACTGGCTTGGCATCTTTTATTTTCTCTTAGAATTTTGATAACCAAGAACCTGGGTCAGGCTAGGCTGTTCATTTACCAACTAGGGGCAACCTGAACCAGTTGCCAGGAATCAACCTGTAGCATGTGCCTAACCCTGAAAGTCAGGAGTTTTTCCCTTCGCCAATAGGCCATTTTGATATACTCAAATTGGTGACTAAAAAGGTTGAGCTTCATGACTTCATATGGTAAGAAGACTATTTGTCAGATTTTGAAGAAAAACATTTTTTCCCAAACCCAAGTTTATGTTAGTCATGAAACTAATCAAGAAATGGCGAAAATTGGCCAAGTAAGAAAGCTGAAATTGTGTCAGAAATACTTAAAGTAGTGTAACCCTCATATACAAGAAAAGAAAGGATTTGAGGAGGTAAGCATACCATCTTCCTCATTTCTGGATTATGCAAGACACCATAGTTTGCCCACCTTGACCAAGATTCAAGTACAATACCATCATAATCCATTTCCCTGTACAAAGGGTGCCAAAAGATGTTTAGACTGATGAAAACCATATCTAACAAAGAGGAGACTAAAACAGTCCACAATTTCATACAAGACCAAGGCACAGGCATTTGAATTCTAATTACTTGGAGCATGATGAACAAGAGAAATAATTTAAAAGAAACTAAATCCAAAGGCATTATAACTACTACACACAGGACTGCAGCCAGTTTGCCGTGAACTAGATGGCTAAAAGTTTATTAAATAATCATCCAAAGTGTGTCTGGAAAATGCAGCTTTTTCCTTTGCCCCTGTTATGTCCAACTAAAATATTGGTGGAAAATACCCTTCTGTCTTGCAGCAAATCATCATACCCTCTCACTGTCAGTCAGATTGCTGCTGAAGTTTTACCAATGCTCATACTTTCAGCCTCAATACACATACACCAAAAATAAATAAACAAATAAAATAAATAAAAAAATGGAGGAGAAGCCTGATAGAATTATGATTAATATGTCCATACCACATAATACAAGCTTTTTAAACATCAACAAGGGATGAGGTACTTATGTTTCAAATCAAGTTAGAACCTGACGTTAGATTTCCTCATAGAAAGTGTTTGATAATATCTCTCCATATTTAAATAAATATAATCCTTACCATTGACCACTGTGTCAAAACTAATGTCACATACAAAAACACAAGAAAACATGAAGCCAAAAGATGTAAGTGATTCTAAAGGAGCACCAAAATTTTATGAAACATCATCTCAGAGAAAACAAAGGTACTTACTTGCATTCTGCTACAATAAGGTTGATGACTTTTTTCCTTTGTTTCTTCTTGGTTAGCAGATCCACAGGGATTGCTTCCAAAACAACTCTTGGTAATATCTACTAGAGCATCAGAATAAGGAAACCGTCCTTAAAGTCAAGTATTGGAGAAAAAGGTGCAAAATGCTTCTAAAATCGCATTTAGAAGATGGTCAAGGGGACCGTTTAAATGCAGATACTCATGGAAGACTTGAAACAAATCAATCAGCACACCAATTATAGTAATTTTATGTACCAGCTTGAAAAATTACAATTGACCTGCGGAAAGTGGAAAGCTGTTCAAGGGTAAAAAGGGATCCTAGATATGGGCAAGAAAATGTGTTTGTGTGTGTATGTTTCAGTATAACTGAAGCTTTCTTATTTTCTTTTTCTCCCCTTTCCAGAGTATTTTGCATCAACCACTTGCCATTCTAGTACTTTTTCTATTGCAAACCGTGATTTCCAATTTTAAAGACCTAAGTAGATTCCTTAATTCTGCTTTAGAATGACAGAACATAGAATCTTCACATAACAGGTAATTTGGCCAAACCTTAGCATCACCCTTCATTCTAATATCCGAAATCCATCCAGTATCAGCATTATGTCTTCCGTCTAGAATAAATGTGCTTCCTTCGCTGCCATGAGACAAACTGATCAGCATAGAATTTGAAAGAGGGAAACAAAGCATTAAGGAAATTGAGCAATAAACTGGAAACCAATTGGCAGTGATCGGAATGACCCAAAGATCCCCATTATCTTTCTTAGTAGCCTTCAGAACTGATGCAGAACTTTTATCCTTTAATATACATATAAAAGAGCAAGATTTACATACATTTCTGATAAGATTTATTCAGCATGCAGCACTTGACAACATGAAGATCTGGATTTTATTTCTTTTGATAAAAAAGCTAACATACACCATGGTGGTTAAGGATAAACATCCAATACCCTACCCTGCACTCCACAAGGGTTCACAAGGTGCTTTACAAGATGTATATCCACTCAATTATTTATGACATCTTCACCCGTGTATTCCTACTCAAAACATAACCTACTTACACAGCTTAATTACAAAAGTTTCAGGTAAAAGTTGCTCTCAAGAAAAATAGTTTCTTCACTTCCTCCAGTTGCTTTCCCTTCCCCTATGTGCCCTCACATCTCTTGTTTGTAATTTTCCAAGCCTTCCAATCAATGATGCTTCGTGGCTTTCATTCCAAGTGCAAAATAGTGTCAAACAAACCAGTTAGCAGGTTAAATTATCATTTATCTCCTAAGTAGCATATGCTACTACAGGACAAAAATGCTTTGGTTATCTCCACACTTACAAGTCATTAACCTCATCTCCCTCCCTTTCCACCTAATTTTTCATTTTTAGAATAATTGAGTTGCTTTAGCATATTGCTTTTCTGAATATGCAACCACTATGGTGAAGGAATTATTAAACATCCCTCTGTTTATATCACCTTCTCTTCTTGAAATTTATAACTTTGCTAATAAAGTTTGATTTTGAGACAGTCAACCTGTCTTACACAACAACCTCTAGAAACCAATTAGCAGCAAGATAGGATCACAGGACCATCATAGACGTGCTAGAGAGATAGACAATAGGAACTAGTGCCTGCTGATCATCTTGAACAATAGAAGTGAACAAGTGCAGTAACAAGTGCAGTAACTTATAGCATGCATGAACAAGTGCAGTAACAAGTGCAGTAACTTATAGCAACTTATAGCATGCATGAACAAGTGCAGTAAATCACCATGAGACTGCAGATTCCATACCTCTTAAGTTCATACCACACAGGTGATATATGTGTCAGCTTAGAAGTGAACTTCTTGGCCAGGTCATATCCTTTTGAGTTCCTGCCCCATATATTCTTTAACAATGAAATCTCCATTTAAAAATCAAGAGAACAACAATTTTGCTAACAAAAATGTACTTAAACAAATGCCTGACACCAATACCATTAAACAGAGTCGAAGGTCAAAATTTTTATTTTCTATTTTAGAAAAATACAACAAAATAACTAATTGCACCTAATCTCCCTTTCATTCAGGTTTTTGACTCAATATTGCAAGATCAAACCCCCTACTTTCAGCTGGAGGTTCTTAAAAAGCAAAATCAAGTGTCACCCCAGTCTTCGATTCTGATCAGTGGTACAAACAATAGAGTGTCAGTATCTAGTGCATGTAAAAGTTTAATGCAGTCAAGAACTAGACTCTAATGTTCTTTGGGATTTTTGTTTCTATTTTTTTCTTTAGATTAAATTAATCCATCCTACACACACTCAGTATTTTACATAAGCGGATTTAGAATCAGGACTACAGAAATTACCTAACTGGATCCAGTTTATGACACCCCCCCCCCGGCCTTATAGACCATGTGGCATATTCAATAGCCACATGAGTTTTCTTGCGTCATAGTATATCGCTCACTAGTCACTACATTTAATATATCATCATACATTACCATGATCATGTGACTCTTAAATATAGTATTCCATAACCTGGGCTTGTAGACCGGATCTATTAAGTATTTTTTTACCAGATTAATTGGTGTATTTTACAGACTTACAATCAGCACAATGACCTCTGTTCAAATGGGCAAGTGTGGCATGCATCTAGAGCAGCACATTACACAGCCGGTGTGGTTAATTTTTATTCCAAATTGGTGTTAGAGACTACTAGTAGTACTTACTAAAAGAAAAAAAGAAAAATTCAGAAGTTTTAAGTTGATAATCCATTTCTTTAAACACCTATAAATTTTTAACTTCGTATATTATACCAATATCAGCAATAACATGAACAAAAAAAAAAAAAAACTAAATACATAAACACAGAAAGCATCAATGAGGTATTCAAAAAAATTTATCTTATCAAGAAAGGTATTCAAAAAAATTAAGAACATATAAGATCTTCTAATGATTAACTTCATAAAAGTGTAATATATGAAAATACCAAGGAGTAATATATGCCAGCACAGGATTTTCAAACTGCCGCCGACTCACATTTTCCGAAACCTTCATATGCTCCTGCATTTCTTGAAAATTTGAGCAACGAATAAATTCCTCTCAATCAAAACTCAATCTTTTCAAGTAACACAATTGAAGAGCAGAGTGCCCTTGAAAAAAAAAAATGAAGCGCAGAGCGCGTACAGCGAGGACTTCACGGTAATATACGTCAGTCTTAACAAGGCCTCTCCGGTAAACATCCGGTAGATTCGGGACCGTAGCCGTATACGGTGAGTAGATTCTACGGTAAACGATCGCTGAAATGGCGGGAAATATGATGAAGACGAGGAACAAGGTAATAGTTCGCTTGCGTTCTTGGCTCGTTGGAGTCTCCACTGAGTCCACGTGCCGGTGATCGGACGTTTCAACTCTGCTGGATCGGCGGTCGGAGTTGGGTCCGACTCGCCGGTGTGTTTTCTTGCCCATATCCCTCTTAACGGACCTTGCTTCAATCTAAGAAAGAAAGTGAGACTATATAGTACGAGTGTAATCTCACTAAGCCACATTTTTCCAGCTTAATTAATAATAAATTTTCTATCCAAAATTTTGATAAAATGACACTAATGCCCATACACGCTCCTAAAAAAAAAAAAAAAAAAAGGCCATACACACTAGTGAGTTTGTTTGGATAAGAGTTTATTTGGATGATTTATTTGAGATATTTACTGTAGCACTTTTTGTGATGTGATGTATGTGAGATAAAAAGGTGATTGGAAAGATAAAAAGGTGATTGGGATTTGTGAAAACAAATTTTGCAAATCAAATTATCTTTGTCCAAACAAACTCAGTACTGATAGTTGGATAATGCTTTATTGGGGAAAAAAATACTGGTCATATAGCATAAAAAATTTTAAAAAATAAAATATGGGAAAATATCAAAGAGTTGAAAAAGTTTGTTAAAGGGTTAGAAAGTTATAAAAGAATTCGCAAAACTTTTACACTAGTTTTCAGTTGCTTCTTCTTCTTCCTTTAAATTATAAGTGAATAAGTTTCGATAAATTTCGCTTGCTTTGTAGTCTCAGAAGATTATCACAAGTGAATAAGATGTGAATTCGTATTTTTGGGTTACACTTACACTTTGCTTCATATTTTGTTGGGTACTAAATTATTTGGTTAAAAATTGTGAGATTCTATAAAAACATTTTCTACTTTAATTTTTATTTTTCAATCGCCTTTTTTATTTCATATAAAAATGTTACAATAAAAAGATTTCTAAATAATTTTCATTTCCATAGCACTCATTAACTTTATTTAATCTAAAATAGGCACGTTATTAGTATTGAGATTGACAATTTGAGTTGCTTAGACTTTTTTACAAAATTTTTAGCTTTTTTGGTAAATTGCTACAAGACAAAATATATGGTGTAGTCTTCTTAAAATGAATTTAGCAACTATTGTAAAAATAGACATTTGTTAGGGTTACAATTACTACACGTTCAAAAATTAGTTAGGAACATTTTCGTCAAACAAAATATACCTTCTTCATCTTAACCCGTTAACAGATCAATCATGAGGGATAAAGTGTATACATTTGGAGTTTATGGAGGCAATGTGTCGTTAAGGGTCAAGTTCAAGAGAACAAAATGTAATTAATCCTTATATTTATTCATGAGATTTGGTGTATATTATCTTTTGAAATTAACTCAAGCTGCAATCTGTAATAGTAGTAGCTATATAAAATTCACCTATGAAATTTTAGAGTGATTATGGTCTAGAATCGAAACAAATTATTTAAGATATATATTCATCACTAATATATATATATATAGACACACACTATATATTCACTGCCACGTATTTGCACTACTATAAGTCCAACCATTATTGCAAAGCTCCTTTAGAATATTAGACGACTTCCTGACATTTTCATACCAAAGTAAAAAGGGCGACAATTAAACCTAGATCCTCGAGTAACCTTCAAAAGCCGGCAACTTTTGAAGGCGCCCAGGGGACTTAACCATTAGACGACTTCAATTGTTCGTTTTTTGTTAGCTTCAAGAAGCTTGGATAAATGGCAATCCAAACAAGCCCTTAAGCTTGCAACTAATGGTTCTTTTTTTTTTTTTTGGGGTCAGTACGGCGTTGTTGCAACTAAGGGTTCATGACATGGACAATTTTAACCCTCGACTGCTTTTTGTAAACACGAATAACAAGATGAAGCTTTGGGGTTTAGCTGATGAACCCTACCCAAAGTCAATCATTTTCTCATCTTCAAACTTCATTTACCCATTTCCAAGCCCAACAAGGTCAGTTAAATCTTCAGCTTTCTTGACGAATTTATTCATTTGTATGCCATTGTAATTGCTCTCTGATGTTAGCTTATTGGCTGAAAAACGTGTTTGATGCATATTTCTGGAAATAAACTGACAAAATGGAACGTAATTTCTTGTTATCTCCCCACAAGATTTCACCACCCGTTGCTGCTTTTCCATTTTGCATCTCCTATGAATCCTATTTACGTCAAAAGCCCCAATGTTCTTTGAGGACACCTTTCTCAGTTTGTAGAAGAAACTTGGAAAAGACACTATTTTTGGGTGAAAGTTTGGTTTTCCAGGAAAAAAATGACTTTTGGGGTGATTCAAGGAGAACCCATGTGCCCCTCTTGCCTATAAGGTCAGGTGCTGTGAAGAGGAGGAAAGAGCTTCCTCTTGATAATGTAATCCAAAGGGATAAGAAGCTCAAATTGGTTTTAAAAATTAGGAAGATTTTGATGAGTCAGCCTGATAGGATAATGGCGCTTCGTCATTTAGGTAGGTTTAGAAGAGCATTAGGTCTGGATAAGAAAAGGCGATTTATCGCATTGTTGAGGAAGTTTCCAGCTGTGTTTGAGATCGTGGAAGAAGGGGCTTATTCGCTTAGGTTTAAGTTGACTCCTGAGGCGGAGAGGCTATATTTAGAGGAAATGAAGATTAAGAATGAGATGGAGGATCTCCTAGTTGTCAAGTTGAGGAAATTGTTGATGATGTCAGCTGATAAGCGGATTCTTTTGGAGAAGATTGCCCACTTGAAGAATGATATTGGGCTTCCTTTAGAGTTTTGTGACACGATATGCCAGCGATACCCACAATATTTCAAGGTTGTGTCTACTGGGCGGGGACAGGCGTTGGAGTTAACTCATTGGGATCCTGAGCTTGCTGTCTCTGCTGCAGAGCTTGCAGAAGAGGAGAATCGGGAAAGAGAGCTGGAAGAGAGAAATTTGATTATTGATAGGCCACTGAAATTCAGTAGAGTGAAGTTACCTAGGGGTCTTAATCTTTCAAAAGGAGAGATGAGAAGGATTTCTCAGTTCAGGGACATGCCATACATTTCACCTTATTCTGACTTCTCTAATTTGAGATCTGGAACAATAGAGAAAGAAAAACATGCTTGTGGTGTTGTTCATGAAATATTAAGCCTCACTGTTGAGAAGAGAACCCTTGTGGACCACCTGACTCATTTTCGAGAGGAATTTAGGTTTTCTCAGCAGCTTCGTGGAATGCTCGTTAGGCATCCTGATATGTTTTATGTCTCTCTTAAAGGGGATAGGGACTCTGTTTTTCTTCGTGAAGCATATAGTGATTCTCAATTAATAGAAAAAGATAGACTCTTGCTCATCAAAGAGAAGCTTCGTTCCCTTGTTGCTGTTCCACGATTCCCAAGAACGCCCATTCCAAAAACTGGCACAGGTGGAGAAGAAGGAAGTGAGGCAGAAGAGGCAAGCAGTGCAGAAGAGGAAGATGAATGGTTGGACATTGATAGTTTTGCTGGTGATAAATTGGATGATGATGAAGATTTTGATGAAGATGATCTAGATTTTGAAGACAATTGGAGCAGTGATGAAGATGATTTATCCCCAGACTTAAATGGTGATGATGGAATTATGAACCTTGAAGCACACAAACAAAGCAGGAAAATAGATGACTCAGAGAAAGAAGATAAGCCTCTTGTTCCAGTCTTTCCAGATGGCCGGCCAAGAGAACGCTGGTAAACTCATGGAGTGTTTTAAAATGCAAGAGGCTTTCATATTTTTGAAAGGCCCTGTGCCCTGGGAGAGTGACAAAAGGTGTGCTATCCTTTCAACATTGGGTTTGCACGAGGTTCATAACAGCGGAGAAGAGTGTTAGGCACTTTGTTTGAAAGGTTAGCATTTCTCAGAGACTAAGTTTTGGGACTTCACATCCACTGTAAAGTCAAAATGGTCCTTGAGAGAGAGAGTGAGAGAGGGAGGAGAATAAGATTGAATGTTTAGCATATCTTTCTTTTAAGTAAAAAAGAGCAGAAGATCTTATCTTGATGTTTGCCGAGCTCGCAGGCATTGCATTTCTGCTGCATCTGACAGCTTGTTCATATTATGTTATATTATTTCCATGATATGAACTACACACTTCTTTCCGAAACTCTTGAAATTAGAAGTAAAGTCTGCATTTTATTTGTTTGCTTTGTTTACAAGTACAAATTGCTGTGGTTGATTACATTTTACTCCAGTTCATGCAATTAACCTTGAGGAAGTTCTGGCGCTAGCATCCTACTGTTTAAATCTTAACTGATAACCATTCTTAGTCCAAGTATTAGATTTTTGTCGTAGTTTTTATATGAGGTTCTTACATGCAGTCTCTGCTTCTCTGATGACCTTGTCCACGTTGAATTAGGAAGACTATAAATCTCAATTTGGATAATAGTCCTTTGCAGTAACCAAAGGAAAAAGGAATGTATTCATCACAAAAAAGTTTGCCAAATTATGTGTTCATGGCAAGCTTCATAAATTTGAATAGAGCAATTTGATTTGTAAATCTGTTTGCTACACAATTCCAAAAAGAAGTTTGGTGAGCATGCTTTTCTGCGTTGGTCAGGAGTGACTTCCTACACCAGAGTTAATGGATAAAGACTTTTTGGCAAGGGGTGAAGTTGTCAGGACACTCCAGGATTCTCTCGACTATAAACATCGCTACAATCATGAGCTCATGGATATTCCCTTATGCTGATTCACTAGCTGCTTCCATTTCTTGAAGAGAATATAATGTTGCTTTTGCAAAGCAGCCGAAAATATCTTAGGTTTATTTTGATTAGGTATCCGACCGGTTATGGCTTCTTTAGGGGAAGTCTTGGAACTGAAACGTTGACTTTAGCTCCAGAGTTAACGAATGTCGACCTCCTCCATCGTTGGACTGCCTTGTAGTTAAGACTCTTTGTTCGATTTCTTGGACACATTTGAAGAATGGTTCCCGTCCCTCAACTTAATTATTTAACCAAGATATCTTGTTGGCTGTATTCTTTCATTTTCTTCCGTTGTTTCTTCATTTATCTGCAATCAAGGCATCCAATCACTCGTAAACCAATATTTTGGGGCCTAAACATATGCTCTCCATGTCATATATTAATAAACCTGTAATTTTAGTCTCGAGGAGCATAAAGATTATAAGCTTGCCGACCCAAATTACAGTACAAATGTGACTTTTTGAAAAAATTTAAGGGTGATTGCCCTCCAGTTCCGTTCCTTCTCCATATTCAGTGATCTCGTCTGCCATGTTTGTTCTACAGAGCTAAAGACATCCAAAAAACAATAATGTATGCAGACTGTTCTTATCAAAATCAAATTTACATGTGTCATATTCAAGCTCTGGTTTTCTGTTCATAGACTTCATCAGTGGAGATGCGGGAAGCCCTGATGTCCTAGAAAAGTCTGAGCTTCGAAACAAATAAGATGTTTCAGCTTTGCTCGTAGATGGCAGCTACAGAATGCGGGTGAAGTGTTCCGCATAGGTTTCTGCGGCGCTGCACAGAGATTTAGCGAAAGAAACAAGCATTATAAGTTTTATTGTCAACCCGTTGTATACTGAAAGAGACATAAGGTCGAATATTTGACACAAAATTTTGAAGCCAAAATTGGGGAATTAGCTTTGTATGTACCAAGCATTTTTTTTCCTACTCTCGGAAGCATTTTTTTCTAACTCCTTTGATGCATGGGATATTAACTAGGCTTTTGTGAGCCGTTAATTAAGGCTAATGACTAGTGGTAGAACGGATTGAAAGCATGTCAATATGAAAAGCAAGGCCAAACAGACATTATTTTGCCAGTCCAATATAATTCACTGTCCTCAAGGTCGAGGATAAAGAAGAACCCGTTCCAACTTGAGGCATATATATATCCGGCCGGCTTAAACAAAAAGATTGATAATAATCATTATGCACAAGAATTGTGCTTACGTCGGGATAATGAGATCAATATAGTGGGTAGGGGTGAAAATTGAAATGCTTTATCCGATGCTTTATTCTTTATGTCAGAAGGGTTGACTCTTAATTATCTTTGCAGGCCGAATCTTTGTTTACTTTAGGTGGACTTGCATCAGGAATCAAATGGATCTGGTCTTGCTAATAATGTATGATTCCCGAAGGATATTAAGGTCCCACCAAACACACCGTAACTAATCGAAGGCTCATGCTTTATTAGCTATAAATACCGCTTGCACTGGTTCCAAATTCACTGGATGGTATATATTATATTTGGTGATGTGGAAGCTTCAAACGTTAAGCCAGACATAGTAACCTGAAATTGCCTTATGTCTGGGCATTTGGCTTGTGGATTGTACCAAGAAGTTGTAAGCATTCTGTGGAAAATGCAAAATGCAGGTTTTAAGCCAAACTCAGGCTCTATAACTAGTGCCCTTCAAGCAATATCTGAATTGGAACAATTCAGTTTTGGGAAGGAAATCCATTGCTTTGTCATTAGAAGCGGCCTAGACTATGACCCGCATCTAGGTGCTTCATTGCTAGACATGTAGTAGAGAATGATGATTTAATAAATGCCCAAAGAGTCTTTGATAATATGGAGAACCGGAGTTTTTTTACTTGGAATTGTGTGATTTCAGGATATGTATATAGAGGACTTTTTGATGAAGCACTTAATCTTTTGGATCAGATCAAGGAGGAAGCACTTAAACCTGATTTAGTGACTTATAACATTCTGGTTTCTGGGTATTCAACTTTAGGCTGTGTTATGGAAGCCTTGGCCATGATTCGCCAAATGAAAATTTCTGGTCTGACTCCTAACGTTGTCTCATGGACTGCTTTAATATCAGGTTGTACACAGAATGGGTATTACAAGGATGCACTCAAGTATTCCATTGAGACGCAGAAGGTAGGCATCAAACCAAACTCAGCCACACTAGCAAGCTTACTTTGAGCTTGTGCAGGTTTGTCTATGTTGCAGAAAGGAAAAGAGGTACACTGCAATAGTATCAGAAATGCTTTTCTTCAGGATGTATTTGTGACTACGGCTCTTATTGACATGTACAGTAAGCGTGGCAGCTTAAAAAATGGCTATGAGGTTTTTCAGAAAATTGAGAACAAGACATTAACTTCTTGGAATGCCATGATCGGGGGTTTAGCAACATACAGCCTTGGAAAGGATGCAATTTCACTTTTTCGAGAAATGCAAGGCAGAGATGTTAAGCCTGATGCCATAACCTTGACAGCTGTCCTCTCTGGCTGCAAGGAACTCTGGCTTGATAAATGAGGCCTAGGAGTATTTTGACGGTATGGAGATGGATTATGGGATAATACCTACAATTGAGCATTACTCTTGCATGGTTGATCTACTTGGAAGGGCTGGGTATCTTGACGAAGCATGGGACCTAATTCACAAAATGCCAATGTTGCCAGATGCTACAGTTTGGGGGGCTTTCCTTTCATCATGCCGAATCCACAAAAACTTGGAGCTTGGAGAGATTGCAGCACAAAGCTTTTTAACTATGTCTGGCTGCTAACTATGAATCTATATTCAGCCCTAGACAGATGGAAGGATGTGGATCGCATCGGAGAGTTGATGGAAGCTAACCGTGTCAAAGTTGGTCATGTTTGGAGCTGGATACAACTGAACCAAACGGTTCACATATTCTCTGCTCTAGGAAAACCACATCCAGATAAAGGGGAGATCCATTTTGAGTTATATCAGTTGATTTCTGAGATGAAGAATTTGGGGTATGTGCCTGCTACTGAATGTGTCTACCAGAACGTTAACACAAGGGAAAAGGAGAAGCTATTGCTTAGCCACACCGAGAAATTGGCAATTACATTTGGGTCAATCCAAACAAAAGATAGCATACCAACAAGGGTGATTAAGAGCACAAGAACTTGTTTAGACTGTCACACACTGGTGAAATATATCTCTTTGTTGAGAAGACGAGATATCTTTCTCAAAGATGGTCTTTGTTTTCATCATTTCTCGGATGGTGAATGTTCATGCAACGACTTCTGGTGATCGTGTTTCAGTAATTTGCTTCTTCCTTTATGCACCAAGTTAACAGTTCCAGTAAAACTAAGAATAAGATCTAAAAGATATTTCATCTTGGCTGAGACAAAGCTAATCTGCACAGCAGGCAGTAAAATGAGATGAAGGAACAGTAGGATGCTGAACATAGATATTCCTGGGGAGCAATGAACCAAGCCAAATCCATGAAGTAAACAAAACCAAGAAAATACATGACAGTTAACTCTTGATTCTCCTCTTTTATCTACTTGAATAGCATACTGGAATACATAAAATGCAGCATTACTGGTTGTTGGGCTGCATTGTTTGCACAAATAGGTATCAGGTTCGACACTTGGCCTTTATATCAGAATTTATGTGTTAATTTCATATTGTTGGTGAAGTCTTTTAAGCATCTATGGCAGCAAGAAACTGGCAACCTTGAAGGATTAAGATGGAAAACGACACGGACACCACTCCACCACTAGCCGAGCTGAAACTCTCCTATACTGAGATAATTGCAGTTGGTGCGACTTCTGCAACTTGATTATCTTGAAAAAAGAGAGCTTCCCGCATGGAAAACCCACGAAATTACAAACATACGTCCATGGCCATAATATCTTCTTGAGATAGAAGTAGTTTTGTCAAACAGTTCCATACTATTGATGGTCTGTATTGTAAATTTGGTATATATTTCAATTTCGGTCTTCTTTTAGAGCAATCTTTTAATTTAATGAATTCAGAAGACAAGTGGTACTAATTTCTTTTTAGTTTTCTACATCTTTTTAAATTTCTGATTTCTAATTATCTTTGCTTGATTTCCTTGATGTTGGTGTTGCACTCCAAATTTCACTTCAATAAAATGCATAGAACCAGTACACTTCAGAAACCATTCCAACTGTTCAATTTTGGTGTTAGTTTGATTAACTACAGCATTAGTTTTAAGTTCCAGGTTAAACTTGGTCCCTTGAATTAATGGGGATGCTGTCGAGTAGTACCAAAATTGCTTAATGTATAGACAAGGGATGCTTAATGTATAGATTAAGAATGCTGTTGAGTTGAGCCGAACTCGGGTGGTACCATACTCGAGCTTTTGATCGCCGTTGACTTGACTTTCATGATTTTATCTAATGCCAGCGTATTTAAGAAGCTAATTTTAGATCAAAGTACGGTGGGCCTGCCCTAGTGTTGGTCTAATATTTCAATTGATGGCTCTACCGATTGTCGTACGGTCCCTTAGTTATCTCAAGCCGAATCCCCAAGACTTCTCAGAAGTTCTTCTTTTTTATGGTATGTTCCCCCGGGTAGAAGTAACTAGCCATAAAGAGCACTTATTAGGTTCTCTGCTCTGGGAAAGATATATCAAGTTGAAAAGGTAAAGGTCATTTAGCATTACGATTTGTCTTCATCCTAAAACACAAAAATTAGGACCGGACAACACAATTAGTTTACGCCTTTTCTTTGCTTTATCAAAGTGGGAAATTTCTCTTTACCAACATCTACATGAAACCATCAATAGCAGCGAGAAACATCAACATTTTAGAAGCACCAACAACTTATCAAGCCCAGGAATAATCAAGCACCGTAACAAAGAAACAGCGGCCACAGGTTTATTTTCTCTTGATACTACCCTAAACAAGGAAAGGCAACAAGACGCGCCACGGTCAAAGTTTCCAGACTAGAGCATTAATAGTTTGATACCCACATATATATATATATATATATACACAATATTTACAATACATAGCACAGACACTTCAAACAGCCAATCCAGGAACGTAACGGAAGCAGATAAACTAATTTCCTATATCCACTAAATACCAGCGCTGCTAAAGTTCTCACTCCCAGAAGCAGTTGAAATTGAAAAGAAATGACCAATGGAAGCAAAATTGATCCGCTCAATCAAATCTGCCCAGCATTTTCCTATGGAACCTCTTGACAGAGTCACCAGGTTCCATTATTCCTATGACCAGCTCAAGTTCAGTTGATGGGCATAATGTTTTCCTGCATCGCCATCCTCTCAGAGACATCAGCTAAAGATTTGAGGTTGCAATTGATCAAAGCCTTGACAAAGTAGCATGTCTCATCTTGAGTATTCCCTTGTGGTACATCCACAACAAACGACTCGGTGACAACTGTTCCCGGTCTGCCATCAATTATCTCGGGATGCACGGTAAGGATGGAAGAATAGTTCTGCAAAAGAAGTAAACAAAGGATGGCCCATGTGAGCATAAGCTGTGTAAGCTGTGCCTAAGTATCTACATTACAGATCTGCAACACGTTTAACTATTATCCTCCTAGTTCTTCCTTTGTTTTTTTTCCAGGAGTGGGGGTATCTTAATGTTGGGGTAGGGGACAAGAAGCATCTGATTAACTGCATATGATGTTAGACAATCAAACACCATGCAAATAAAACAGGGAATGCTAATTCCAGATACAGCCAATATGATGAAATAGGAACTGCTACTTCCAGATACAAACAATATGAATCTACCAGCCAAATTATAGTCAAAACTCAGCAAACACTACTGTCTTTCGCTGGTTGTTCTGCAACCGAGTGATGAACGCAACCACAACATGGCTTTTAGAATTTAGAGGAATCACTTCAAGGAACTTGTGAATTAGATTCCGAAATTTCTTGCCAAGAGATAAAACACCAATTACAGATGTCTGAACAGTCTAGATTTCATTTAAGGATAAAACCAAGAAAGAAACCTTAAGACTGTAAAATTTTTCTAGTGACCACTAAGTCAAAATATTCATCACTCCATGCTCAAAGGACTTGCAACGACTGTGTAGTACACATGTAAGAGAGTAAAAGCTCAACCATTTATGAGCGGACATGTTCTTTCTTACTTCTTACCCTTTTGTTGAGCTTAAGAAAAAGCAAAAATGCATCTCAACTACACCAGAAAACAGTGTCACTTTGTCTGTAACTGCCATAGCCATCTTAATGGACCAAAATGCTAGTCGATAGTATTATGAATTACCTGAACTGTAGAAAACAATCATTTACGTTTTATCATCTCGTATTACAATGTTAATAGCATAACCCTCGTCATTCTTTTCTTCCGGAAGAACCACAAATCCAATCCATTTGAAACAAGCAGAAAGCGGATTGAGGCCTTACCTTGAGCCTGTGGTCACCACCAACAATCTTGATCCCAAGAATGTGCTTCTCATCATCAAGAAGTTCCAATCTTTCAGTGCTGGTGGTTGCAGGAAGCCCTGACCTCACATTCACCTCTCTAACACTCCCAATCTTAAGGTCACCTTTCACAATGCACGTGCTAACAAAGGGCTTATACCTCTGTGGCTGATCAAATCTCCTCACCAGTGACCAAACCTACACCCAAGTACAAAACATCAAATGTCTTGATAAATTTGAATACCCTTCAAGTAAATAGTATCAAATACAATTGTATACGATGTTTAGGTGAAGGGGACCAGAATTCAAAATCCCTTTTTCCAGACTATGTGACTTTCTTGTCAAGCAAACGAAACCCGACTAAAATCCCAATTCAAGATTCAAGAAACTCAAAAATCAGAAAACTCAATTATCCACCCACAGAAATGGAGTTTCCACAAAAGAATAAAAAATTAACCAAGATTCAAATCGAACCCGCCTAGTGTCAAGCCTTACAAAGTCAAATTATCAAAGAAAGATGCATTAAGGAAGTAAATATATTGAGGTTAAACAATCAAGAAGCCAAACTGAGCACCAAAAATTGAATCTTTTATCCCATCAAATACAAGAAGCACCACCAATCATCAAACTTATATGTAAGGATTGCATTTTCCAAGAAATTAATGCAAGCCCTTTGCAAGAAATAAGAAAAAAAAAACAAAGACAAAATCTTGTAATATACTATTGGATTTTTAATCAAGAAAAACAAGCATACAGGGGAGTATGTGACTGCAGGCAGTAATATGCACCATTTTTTCCCCTTTTTGAGAGAAATAAGCAAGAGGGAAGGAGGGATTACGATATCGACAGGGGCTCTAATGTGTTTGACAACAGAGGAAGAGCACGGGTGCTCGGTGGGCTGGTGGCTGCCCTGCATGCGGTTTCTTCTGTTTAAGTAGCTGACTGCCTCCATATGAAATTCTTTACCCAAAAATCATAAAAATCCCAGTTATTTTTGGGTTCTGTCTAGCAAAGAAAAGGCTCTACAAGCAATTGTTTCGGCTCCTTGTGTTTGGGTAAAGTTAACACGAAAAATATGAGAGAGAGAGATAGAGAGGAGAGAGAGCAGACTCGAAAGGTAATAAATGCGGAGAGTCTTGACTTGTAAGTGGCTCAAAGAAGATATGTTTATCAGTTTATCTACTACTCCTAGTCCTAGAAGCAGCAGTACCGGTAAATAATAATGAAGAAATTCAATGCCAAGAATGGGAGGGAGAGGGCAAGGGAGACTCCGCCGGCCGTCCAACCAATGGGAGTAGAAAAACAGAAATAGAGAGGCCCCCAACAACGCAAACCAAACCTACTCCTTCCCATCCCCAATTGGTAGAAAGGGCCCTCCACTTTTTTATTCACGTTTTATTCTTCCTATTAAACAACCTTATCTCCATGACCTACCTCAACTCAACCTGCATGCATGTCGTTATTGTTCTCCAGTACAAAAATTATTAGTATGTGTTTTTATTTTAGAAGTGCATCAGTTTCCCCACTTCTATGCCGGTACATAAATGGAAGATAGAGAGGTAATAAACTAAACACTCCTTAGTTACCACGAAATGCTCTGCTCAGGTAAATAGTAATAGTACACTACTATTTTTGTGGGTGGAATGAACAACATTTGCTTAGATCGATAATCTGTACTTATTTTGAAGGGGTTAATTAAACTACAAAAGAATCTTTGTGTGTAAACTCCTACAAATTTTTAAGAATATTTTAACAAGAGCTAATTCAGTAATGTAAAAAAAAAAAAATCATTTGCCATTTGTCATGTAAGTACGTACTATCATTAGTAAATACCCGATTTTATCCCCAAGGAGGAATATTATTATATTTTTAGATACTCATTTCTTGGCTTCCAATTCGATGCTAGTACTTTTGGCTTTCTCTACTAGTAGTGTTCAGTCTGCAGTGCCGAACTTTTGAAACCTTATGAGAAATATTTTTTTTCTGACTGTTCGGAGTCTCCAAGCGTGCAAATGGTAAAAAGACAAGTTAGATATACTTTGATACATACTAGATACATGAATGCACCCAATAATATAACTGCATCATCTCACATGATCAGTACTAGATACATGAATGCACCCAATAATATAACTGCATCTTCTCACATGACCAGTACTCTGGTAAATTTTGTTTTTATGTCCCAATATTTGATTTTGATATTGACTTCTTTTTTTTTTCTAATCTTTTTCGTACGCGTGTCTCGTGGTGATTGGATTATAAGTAGTACAATGATTAGTCATTGCTCTGTCTTCCAACGTTGGGATTTTAGCGCCTAGCATTTGTAGTAATCCCCCCTGACCCTGGCCCTGTTTGAAACTTGAGTTTTTTGGGAGTTTGTCTAAAACTTTAGTGTAGTGCATTGTAGAAGTTTTTCAAAAAGTTTTGTAGAAATTTTTGTAAAGTGAAAAACTTTTTTTTTCTTTTCTTTTTTTTCTTTCTTTCCTTTTTCTTTTCTTTCCTCTCTTCTTCTTCTTCTTCTTCCTTTTTCTTCTTCTTCTTTCTTTCTTTCCTCCCGGTTACCTCCCAGCAGCAACTCATGCCCGCCACCTCCGCGCCACCCCTCTCCTCCCTTTCCCCTTCTCCTTCCCTCCGCCTTTCCCCCGCTCTCCCCCGCCCCCCCCTATGCCCACCATCCCTTTCCCCCACTCTCCCCCGCCACCCCCTGTGCCCCACCACCCTCCCTGCCCTTTTCCCAGCGCGACCCCCTCCCCCCGCCACCCCCTGCCCTTTCCCCAGCGCGACCCCCTCCCCCCTGCCCTTTCCCCAGCATGCACCTTCTCCACAGCCATCAACAAGCCAGGCGCATCTCCGCAAGATGGGGGACGAAACAGCGGTGGTGGTCGACACCGGCGGTGGTGGTCGACACCGGCGGTGGTGTGGGTTGGGATAGGGGTGGAAGAAGAAAAAAAGGGGAGGAGATTTTTTTTTGTGTTTTGGGTATTTTGAAATGTGTAGGTAAAAATCTTTGAAAAGATTTTTTGGGATTCCTGTAGCAAAAGTTGTTAAAAAACTTCTAGGTAAAAAACTTGTCCAAAAACCTGGCTTCCAAACAGGCCCCTGGTTTCACATGATCGTGGCTGAGGATCAACACTAGAGCCCGCTAGTGGAGCACCACCATGTGCACGGCTTGTTTTTGTGAAACGGTTCAAACCAAGAATCAAGACCACCCCTACCGTGGCGAGCTCTATTATCGTGTACTAGCACACATGTTCCAAAATATTTGTCATATGGTACGGTACTGATATGGTCTCCATTAATGATGCAAAGTCGTCAGTCCATCCTTCTTGCTCCCCCCCATCTCACAGCGTTGGTGTGGCTAATGGAGTAAAAAGTACCGACCCCTTTTTTTTTTTTTGGCATGCTCTTCAGCAGTTGAATGAATGGGGTCTACAACCAATGGCGCATAATATCCCACGCCTACTGGACTCCTCACCGAGTTTACTTGGTCGATCAATGTTAATGTTGCTACTGGATTCATCTGTTTTCACTCACACTGACAGCGACATGCTTTGGCAATTCAAAGTTCTTTATTTTTTGGGTAAAAAATGAAAGATTACGTGAGTTTTACTCCCATGATTTCTACAGAGATTCTTACAAAAGTTCCACCAATGGACTTCTCACATCAATAACGAAATTGGACACGCATTATTTTTATTAGAAAAGTCAGCTCGATCATACTAAACGAGCCAACTTACATTGATGTCAATTCAAAGGATTGAAAAAAAGAAAAAGGTTGCGACAAGCAGCACCTGCATCTTTGCAATAGAGTAGTGCAAATTCTTTCTTGTATCATTTTTACCTTCTTTGCTTTAAAAATACTTGCAAATGGATCAAAATATCCTGTTTTTAACTTTTAAGTCACCTTTATACCGTAGCATAGGAGATTCAGTTGCTAGAAGGAGAACTTGAAATGTAGGTCTTTTCAAGGACAAGAATAAATGCTGACCTCCACCACATTGATGATTGATCTTTATCTACACCCATGCATTACACTAAACGGGTGTCAGCAAATTCTGACAGAATTAATAGTCCAAAAACTACATGGGTGTCACCCACGACCCCCACCGATGATGATCGTGTTTTAAATTTTGAAACCTCAACCTTAATGATGGCAGAGTTAGATAAATGCGTCTCAAGGAAATACTTCTAAATCAGCTCAAACATCTCTTAGTAATAACTCGCGACTATTTTATGAAGAAGATGGAAGCCAAAAAATATGATCACAGTCCATATTAAGATTATGTCTACGCGTGGCTATCTGGATTATGTCTAATAATCAATCAAAAAAGTCAATTTTGTTCAATTAATTGTCCCAACTTTATTCGCCTGCCTGAACTTGGAAATGGTATATTCCTATTACTAGTATTACAGTGCGTTATTTGAGCATGCAGGGGAAAAAAAACAAAACTTGAATAAGAAAAGGACGGTCACTGCCATTTGGTCCAGTGGTCATCACCATTAAAGGTGATGCTGGAGGTCAGGGGTTCAATCCCTGCCTCCCACAATTTTGTCACACTTTATGGCGGTCTTAATTGACCTTCATCGATGGAATCTGTACTCACATCGAACCCCCTTCCCTTCCCCTTAGATTAGGTTATAGAACATCTATCGTTTCGACAAAAAAAAAAAAAAAGAATAAGAAAGGGACGGTACAAAAGCGTTGTCTGGCCCAGCTCTATAGGTGGCATGCTGCAAGTCCAATCAAATTATTTCGGATGCTGGCCCATTTCCGGTGTTCCTAGAATCTGGCATTGAAATCCCGTACTCAAACTCGTGTTGGAAAACAATTGGCTTCTTAAAATCCGAAAAAAAATTCTCATGCAGATTGGAGACGAGGAATTTCTGATCTCAAAAAGTTTACTACAGTACCTTTTTCTCAAATGATGACTGATCCAGGAGGCAGATTACTATTGGTTGAAGCCGAACATAATTGACCATTGCTTTTTCTATGACTATTATCCCTTTGTTCCTTCCTTAGTCTCCGCCCTTTTTTTTTTTTTCCTTCAAATTGAAGAAAACGCTTTTGGTACGATTGACCAGTTCCAATCATTTCTCTCTTCTTCTCCTTTTGTTTTTTAGGGAATATATTCACACTCTCATTTTAATCTCTACGCCTCAATTTTTTCACTTAATAAATAATAATTAATATTACTGCCCTTTTTTTGTCAAAACGGCACCAGAGACCATCACTTTGCTCGACTGCGTGAAAAGTGAATCTCGTTAGCTCTGACAGTGAATCATTCCTTCGTCAACTTAGAAGTGAGGCATATATATATGCTTGCTTGAAATGAAGCCAACTGAACTTCTCCAATGATGTAAATGCACTCGCTGCTTCACTCAGCAAAGCCACTAGAACGGTAAAGATAAAATGCAAAACGGATAATACTACGATTTATCCCAAAAAAAAAAAGAGAAGAAAACTTTTAATTTTATCTTTTCCACACCCACTCTCGTAAAAGATAAGCCACATAAGAAGTGATCCATGATTCTAGAGGTATCAATTACAATCCTATTATATTAACTCATCAAAAATCGCCCACTAATAACCCTTTTAGACCCGTCAATTAAATATATCTAATTAGTGGGTAGTGGATTGATTCGACTCACTCATTTATGCTTATTTAAATATAATTATATATTTAAATTAAACTTTTAGTGAGTATTAAGTAAATAAATTTGAATTTCTTACTGATGTAATAACAATAAAATACAGTTATCTTTTGTAAAACAACGTATGAAAAAATAAAGAATAGAATTTTAAATGACTCATAAATGAGTAATTGAGTATACATATACCCATTTATTAAATGGATATAAATGAGTTGATTCATTTATACCCATTATTCAATTATAACATGCCAAAACCTGTTCGAGCCACTCATTTTGACACCTGTAGTCCTAATTAAGTAAGGAGTTAAACTTAGATCATCACAACTGCCCTCTTTCATATGAATAGAAATATGGGTTAATACCACTTTCCGCCGCTTCAAGTACTCTTAGATTCTCACTTTGATTCTTAAATTTTAAAATGGGATAATTTAGACCTTAAAGTATAAACTTTATATATCTTACTTGAGTAAAATATGTTTCATATTAGTACATAAAGTATAAAATCTTTTGTGCTTCAATACCTAAAGTGTGACTAATATTATATTTAGATGAGATAGATTTCATACTTTAAGGGCTAAAGTGGAAAAAGAATTTACTTAAGTGTGATAAATTCTATATGTTGGAGACTAAAATATCCCAT